TCTAAAATATTCAAGCTCTTGAAAGTAGAGAGTAGAAGAGTGAGTCCCAGGCCTATCAGGACAGGGAAATCGGGTGATGTTGATCAAAGGGTACGGAGTTTCAGTTGTGCAGGGTGAATGAGGTCTGCAGATCTAATGTACAACAATGTTGTAGTATTTAAAACTGTATTGTAAAAATGATTTTTGCTAAATGGGGAGATCTTAGGTGTTCTCATGAGACACACACACATATACACACATATGCACTACATTTTTAAAAAATAAAATGTTAGCTCCATGAGAAAATGGATATACAAATTACCTTGACCTTGGTGAGCATTTCACAATACATATCTGATATGGATCAGATGGATCATATGGATCTGTGTCCTGGCCCAAATCTCATGTTGAATTATAATCCTCAGTTGTGAAGGTGGAACCTGGTGGGAGATGACTAGGTCACGGAGTGGGACCTTCATGAATGATTTAAAACAAACTCCTGGTGCTGTTCTCATGACAGTGTGTGAGTTCTCACAAGATCTAGTTGTCTAATAGTGTATAGACCTCCCCTGCTTCCTGGGGCTCCTGCTCTGGCTATGTAATGCACCTGCTCCCCTTTGTCTTCTGCCATGATCCTAACTTTCCTGAGTCTCCCCAGAAGGAGAAGCCACTACACTTCCTGTATAGCCTGTAGAACTGTGAACCAATTAAACACATTTTTTCTTAAATCCCTCAGTCTCAGGCATTTTTTTTATAGCAGTGTGAGAATGGACTAATACAACATCAAAACATCAAGTGGGGCACCTTAAACCTATACATTATTAAAATATTTCAATTATACCTCAATAAAACCGAAAAAGACTAAACTTATTCTTATAATAAAGAAATGCGTATTTCATATTTTCTCAATAAAAAGAAGACAACATAGGAAAACTTACACTAAGACATTTGTAACAGCTTTGTTTATAATATTCATAAACTGGAAACAAATTTAAAGTCGATTTACAGGAAAATAAATCAAAATACTGTCATTTATTTATTTAACAGACTGACTCAGATAGAAAAGCTCTCTCCATCATCTCTCTCTCTCTCTCCATATATACGTGAAAACTTTGAGGTTTCATATCAGAGTCAGTCCATTAGTTGAATAAATGATAATATGTTGATCTAATTTAATACATTAAATAGCATGAAATAACCTCAAAAATAACAATGTAGCCCTTTACCAAATTAAGTTCTACAATGTTTGATTGCATTTATATAAAATTCAAAACAGAAAAATATGGATCTATAGTGTCAGAAATTAAAACATTTCCCCATGCAGGATTTGACCGGAAGCACAGAAAAAGACGCATGTTCAGAGGTGAAGGACTTGTTGTTCAGGCTAGCTTAGGTGTTGGGGACAAGGGTATTAACACTTGACAGAAACTCTCTAGTGATACATGTCAGACCTATGCATTATTTCTTATGTGTAAGTTCTTTCTCTTATAAATAAAAAATGTAGAATCGTTTAAAATTCAGTAAATAGTAAAATTAATATTAAAATCCTATATAAAATATTAACATTGTTATATGAATCAATAAAATGTATTCAAGTATACCGACTAAAATTAAATCCCAGAAATCATAAAGATAACTAACATCTGAAGCTTAATAATTAATGAGCATATGTTTCATAGAGAAGGAAAAAATTGTCAAGACACGTGGAACATGTATTTTTTCCCAGTTGAATATCACTAAATTATTTATACAATAGTTTATCCTGTGTCATTGGTATAAATTACCAGTATTTTGTGTAGTAATACAACCGAGAACCATTTTTAAAGAAAAAAGGATATTTGCGAGCACATGAAATAAATGGAAAGTATTTTCAATGTTGGTCCAACTATTATACCTCTAACAGTACCACGGCTTTGAGTGGGGCTTTGGAAAATATATTTTTTATTTTATTTTATTTTATTTATTTTTTATGAAACAGAGTCTTGCTCTGTCGCCAGGCTGGAGTGAAGCGGCGCCATCTCGGCTCAACACAACCTCCGTCTCCCAGGTTCAAGCGATTCTTCTGCCTCAGCCTCCCTCTTTGTTTTTAATTGAACAAATATTTATTAAGCACCTACTTTGTGCCAGGCATTGTGCTAGGCACCTTCACTGTGTGCTGTTCCTACACCACAATCATCTGCTCAGAAATTAAAACCAAGAAATGGAACACTGTCGCAGCCATGCAAACTGGGGGGCAGGGGGCACTATGGGGAATGACGGTGATTCCCAGGCTAGAAAATGCACCCACCAGAAACCCGTTTTCCATCTCTCTGTAAGTCTCCAGTAAACAGTTATTTTAAAGCTTCCCGATATTGTCGGAGAGGAGTGTTGTTCTCTCTGTGTCCCCTGGGGCTGGCACCTGGTGGACCTTCAAATACTCTGAATGCTATTGGATAAAAAGAGCCCGATGGCCTGGAGTAAAGAATATCAGTATTTGGATAAGAAAATGCTTTTTTTCAGTCCATATGGTTCCAACAGCCCTTATGAAAGATATAAACATCCCTGGCCTGACTGCGTAAATGTTGAAGGTAGACCTGGTTGTGGATTTCTGAGTCAGAATCTTCCAGTTGTCCACACCCTCACGAGGCCAGAGATGCAAGAGGAGATTTCTATTCTGGAAAGAGGTGAGTGGACGGCACAACTGGTTTGGAGACACGACAAACTGCGCCTGCATTTACAGAAGCAACGCACACAGGGAACGTCCTAGCGCCATCTGGTCTCACACACACGCCTGGGACTCACAGGCGAGGACCTGGGCCAACCCTAGTTGTCTGTACCCAGCTTAGGAGGCCTGGGCGGAAGTCATGCAAGTCGTGGATCTTCCGGTCCAGCGTCTCCAGGAAGCTCTTCACCTCCACCTCCAGGTGGCGCTGTCGGGATTCGCTCTCCTCAGCGTCTGTCTTTAGGGAACGCGCTTTGTCTTCCAGGTTTTGATCGTCTCTCTGCGGCCTCCATCTTCTCAGAGACGCCGTCGCGGTCTGACGTGAGCTGAGGTGTGAGTTCACTTTGTTTCCGGAGATCTTCCAGCTCTGCCTCCTGTTCTCGGAGCTCGGCCTCCAGCTCCTCCATCCTCCTCCTCAGCTGCGTGTTCTTCTCCTTCTCTCTGTGGATCTCACGGCCTCTTCCTCTGCTCCGCGCTGGCCGCCGACTCCTCCAGCGCCGTGGGCAGCCGGGCGTCGCTCTCCCGCCGGGCCTGCAGCTCCATCTCCCGCCTCTTCCCGTGGGCAGCGCCCTGCGTCGAGGCCGCCTTCAGCTTGTGGTTCCCAGACTGCAGGTGCCTGTCGGCTGCAGCGGCGTGAGAGGCCTTCCCATCGTCCGTCCCGTTGACACTGGATGCCGGAGTAGAAGATGGGGCTCCACGCCCGGGTTCTCGGGGATGATCACTCGAGGGCTCCATGTTCTCCTGGGTCTTGTCTTTGCCTATCTTGACAGCTTCTTCCACCTCCCGGAATTTCTCTGCAAACTTTGTCAGCTGCTGCTCAGAGGAAAACCCCAAACCAAACACTGTGCTGGCTCTGCTGTCGTGTTGGTGAAGGTCAGATTCCGTGTGACTGTGCTGTTTATGGTCACCTTGGCTCCGTCCACACTAACCATCCGAAAGCTGTTCCTTGTGACATCACAGAAGCAGGAAACGGTGACCGCCTGTGGCTCGCAGGCATCCAGTTCTTCTTGGTGTTGGGGTCAGTCTGGAAGACCCGCGCTCCGGGGTGAGGATGGGCTGTTCTCCCATCTCTGGCGCTACTCAGGCAGCCTCTCCCACCTGGCCTCTGGTGCTCGCTCTCCGCCCGCTGTGCATCCCCTCCCTGCGCAGCACATGTGGCGGCCCCTGCGCGCCTGGCTCAGCCCTGGTGCCACTCCAGTCCGCCAGGCGGGCCTGGCGGGGGCTCTGGAAAAAATCATTCTAAGAGATAAACTAAAAGAATAATCTGTAATAAGGAGACATCAGAATTCCATCTCAGAAAAAAAATGGAAATTATGTAATACATACAAAGTCCTGAGAAGAAACCTTAAAGCACAGGAAAGTCTCATGTATAGTAGGTTGTAATATGTTTATTGCTAAAATTACCACCTGTATGTTGTTTTGAAAAATCGAAGCAAAGCATAATGAAATTGTTTTGTGCTTATCTAGTACAACAGCCTGTTAAGAAAACTGAAGAGCCCTGTAATCGTGAGGAGGAGACCTAATCCGCGAGAGAGGCTCTAGTTCCTGTGTGGACACACAAGTTTGCCGGCTTCTGCCCATCTAGGAGCTGCTTCCTGAAGCCTTCAGGAGGCAGGAGGGTAAATGAGTTTCTGAGGACAATCTAATCACATTCTGACTAGGAGAAAACATTAATGACCTAGGACGGATTAGAAAATACGTAGTTAAAACTTCATTGAAAATTGAGACATTTTGGTTGTATATATTTATAGGGAATAAAGCTATGTCATGATTTATGAATGCAAATCAGAATAATTGAATCGAGCTAATTGACATATATATCGCCTCAGACCCTTATTTCTGTGTGTGTATGTGACAAGGACATTTGAAATTTGTTCCTGGCTATTTCAAAAAGACCAATACACTATGTTTAAGTTTACAAATAGACATCAGTTTATGTAAACTATAGAGAATGATTGAAAGGAGTTATGGATTACTATAATTTATATTAAGTTAATCATTAAGTTTCATTCTTTAGGACATATTTTATAATTATTATATATTTTTTATTTTATTATAATATTAAATATAAAGACTACATATGTATGCATAACTTCGTGTATTTACACATATGTCTATAGATATAAATTAATGTCCCTGTAGCTACATAATAGGTGATATCAACAGATGTTAACAGAACTCCAAAAGAACAAGTGCAATTAGGAAGAATTATTCTTTGAAGGTATGTATTTTTAAAAAATACACTTATATATAAATTTTAAAATACTAAAACACAATTCCCAATAAAAAAAAACATGATAAATAACCATAGTGAAATATTTCAACCTAATAAGACTCCAGAGTCCTGCAAAAATAAGCCCGTATCTTGCAGCTGAGAAAGGAAACCTCCCTGCATGGCCCTGCAGGGAGGTTTGTGTCTGGGCTCACACTGTACTCCCCTCACTGTGTCTCTGGTACAATACAAGGCCGTGTCCTTGGTTTTCAGGCTGTTCATTTGCAGATGAAGCATGTTCTTGGCGTTATCTCTGGAGATGGTGAATCGGCCCTTCTGGGGTCTGTGAGATATGTACTACCCCCATTAGGATTAACTTGTCCAACCCACTCCAGCCCATTCCCTGGAGCCTGGTGGACACAGTTCATGTAGTAGCTACTGAAGGTGAATCGAGAACCTGCACAGGAGAGTTTCTGGGACCCCCCAGGCTTTGCCAAGTCTCCCCCAGACTCCACCAGCTGCACCTCACACCGGACACCTGCAAACACAGAGACACCCTGGTCAGAAACTGCCACATATATCCTCTGTTTCTCTCACTCATGTCCCCTCACACTCAACATCTCTCATTTCCCATGAATCGCCTTTCAAAATAGCAACAAGCAAAAACCACCAAAATCCATGGTGAATCCCCTGTATTCAGTGCTTATCACTGAATGAAAACACCTGGGAATTCTGGGGCTGGGCTCCTCTCCCAGAGCTGAAGGGTCAGGGCTGGCCTGGTTTTTATCAGTAGAGGGAGGGCCCTATTTGCATGTCTCCTGCTATATAGCAAGCTCAGAGGTGGGACAGCTGAGGAGAAGGCAGTGCCCAGAGCAGATGAGTGTGTCCTGGAAAACACTGGGGGTAATCCTATCTCTCTGGAAAATATAGCTTCAGATTATGTGATTGTGCCTTGATAATCATTTAGCACACATCAGCTTATTTAATTTTTCATATTTGCAGAATATATTTAATGCAAGTGTCAATGTTACATTACTAGAGAAGGTAAATTACACACAGAACAGAGCAGTTGTGCAATGTGTCCAATATCATACATCTGGCCAGAATTAGCCCTATTATCTCTCTCTGTGCCTCCAAACACTGGAGGAGGCTGCTCCTATGAGACAACTCCAGGGCAGTGTGGGATATGTCTAGAGAGGTTTTCAGGATGTCCCAGCTGTCATAACAACTTTATGTAATTTTGCTTTTTCTAGTGTTTTCCTGAAATATGCAATCAGTGTTCATATGTGTGTATTTTCAGGAGTCCGTGATTATTCAAGTGTCAATATTCATCTCTTTCTTGTTATTTCTCAGCAAATGTATTCATTTTTGTTACTGCTTTATTCAAAACATCCATCAATAATGAAATCAAATTGACAGTATAACATTTGGAAGATGTTGATATATGTGTGCAGTCATTGAATCAACACTTCAATCATGCTGTTAGCAATTGAATTCACTGTCTTATTTTTTCTCTCACTTCTCTGTAATTTTATTTCACCACCTTGTTATTCTCACCACCCTACTCTCAGAAAAATTTAGATCTCCATGTTAATTTTATACAAATTAAATAACATGAAATTTCCTGTGAATTCTTTAGCTTCCTTCACTCAGCACAATTATTTGATAATGTCCCCATGTTCTTATGTGAAGGAGGCATGCCTTGATTTCAATGGTTCATTGTATTTCAGACATGAATATTTCTCAAATTGTTTAACAATGCACCAAGTAATGGGTATTTGATTTGTTGTCTTAGCTTCTTAATGTTGTTTAGAAAGCAGACACTAAGCATGGGAATGGAAAAAATGAGAAAACGATGATCTTATTCTGACCTCATTAACAAAAAACTTGAACGACTACAAAAAATAAACCCTTCAACATATCTGAGTTGATGTCACAGAGAAAAAAACCCCTGAAATCTGAGAAAATATGGGCCTGCAGAGAGAACTAGGGCCCATTTATTAGAGTACCTGGGTGGGTGCCACTCATGGCCTGGTATTTAAGATGGAAAAATCTAACCTGGAAAAGTTTAATGAGTGGCTTGAGGACGTGCGTGCTAATGGTGTAAGAATGTGAAACTCTGGGCACTTCAAGGCTTTTCCTACAGAATTGAGGAAATCCCCAGACAACTCACCCACCTGCTGTCCTGTGGTGTGGACTGGGGAGGAAGAACAGCAGCTCCGTTCAATGCTGAGTCCCCCTTCACTGTATGAAGGAGACATTTATTAAATCTTGTGTCCTGTGGGCACTGGTAGAATCAACTAGAACACAAGGAAACAGAGGACACCAAGGAAACTCTACCCAGAAACACCTCCCATCTCTTTCCTGAGGAAAGAAATCCTGAATCTGTGGGGTAAGGACAGTGGGTCAGAAGCTGAGGACACTGATGAAAATCCACTGTGGCTGGGAAGAGACACTCTGACACTTGGCGAAGGGAAGGAACAGGAACGCTTGGAAGGCCATGCTTCAGAGCCAGTCTCACCACCCATAGCTAAGAAGGAGACTAGGTCAGAAGGTTGGAGAACGTCCATCTGTGTCCAAGCCCCTTCACCACACAAACAATCACCAAGTAAATGTGTCAGCAGGATTCACCTGCCACGACTAAAAGAGACAGGCTCTCTCTGGGAAGAATGACATGTGAACACCCAAAGCAAAACAGGGAAACAAAAGCATGTATTGCCAGAGGAATCTGAAATTTTTGTGAACAGTAGAAGCTGACTTCAACTCCAATAGCTGGGGCAACCATAAACTTGAAACCCAACCCTGACTAGATTTGCAGAAACGTGGTTAATGAAGGCCCAGCAGAATATAATATGTGATTGTCTCCAGGAAGAAAATAAATACAAGAAAATGAGTAACAAGGGAAATGCAAACGGGAATTCTACATGCATTACAATTTCATTAAAAGTGAAAGGCAAGTAAAATTATGTCATTTAAAAAAAGATCTTGAGACAATTTGTCAACACATTCATGTTTCAGGACACATTTTACAAAGTCTCTGCTGGTAGCCATGTGATATACACTAAAAACATAGATCTATACAAAGAAATTAAGATTATAAAAAAAAGGGAACATCAGGATGAATTGTAGTTTTAATCTGTAATTGTTACAACGTATGTGTATAAAGTGATGCAAAATTACATATTATATTTTATAGCATATATAATTGCAAACTGACAATAAGAAAGACTGGTGAGAAGGAGGAATTCAACGTACACAGTTCCATTATCTCTGTACTTCGTATCAAGGCCATCACAGTATTTACATTAGAATCTATATACAATTCTTATTGTAAACCTTGTGGTAATCAATACCATATTTATAAAAAGTGAATTATATAATCTGTTAATAGAGATATAAACATCATTATAAACTGCTAATTTAAACAAAAATAACAGAAAAAATAATATTAGTCTAAAAATAGAATTTATTATAGTTGCTTTAAAAAAAGCAAGACCCAACTGTTAGCTATGTACAAGAAAGTTATCCTGCATATTCACAAATAGAAAAGATAAAGATTGGAAAACATGGATTATGAAAATATGAACCAAAAGAAAGCTATAGTAGCTGTGTAAATTTCAGAAAAAGTAGACATCAAAAAAAACTTTTAGGACTTAACAGATATGACATAGGATAAAGTTACCAGTTTTTTGAAAGACACCGAAAAAGACTTACCAAATGTATAATAGATGAAGAATGCACTATTCGTTGTGATTTACAGAACAAACGTGATAAAAGAAGTAAAGATGTCAGACCATGCATGTAAGAGTGCACGTAAAAACTTCGTCTTGAATTTCTCCCTGTTGCCGCCCACACCAGCCCCGGTCCTGGAGCCTGCTGGACCAAGCTGATGCTGCCGTCAGTGAAGGTGAATCCAGAGGCTTTGCAGGAGAGGCTCAGTGAACCACTGGGCTGTACAGGTTTTCCACCTCAGACTCCACCAGTGAACTTCACACAGGTCTTCTGCAAACACAGAGGGAACAGACTGAGAACAGCCCCATGTGGAGCAGCCATAACTGGACCTGATTCACAAGGGACATGAATATTGAGGGTGATGAGAAGGGAAGCCCACATCAGTGCAGAACCACGGTGCGGACACTGAGGACGGGCACAGACATGGGGTGGCTCCTCACCAGGGCCTGAAGGAACAGGGGATGGGCTGCCTTTTATAAGGAGGGGAGGGGACATATTTCCATGTCTTTCTTTTTGTGATCATGGGTGCACCGCTCAGCATTGCTCATCCATCCTCTGTGTCTCCATTTCTGGGAGGGCAGGGTCAAAGGATTCCTGGGTCTGGATGCACAGGGTTAATCTGCCCATCACTCTTTCTCAGTCTCTAATGTGGACACTGTCCAGGTATCTTCATTGCAGAAAACATTATCGACAAATAAAACCAGTAAGAACATAAGAAATACATTTTCAGAGAAAACAGACATCTGTCTGTAATCAGTACATTTAGAGCTGCAAACCACTGTTCCTGACAATGAGGCAAAGTTAAGTTAAAATGAAAAAAAAAATGTGTGTCTACATCTTGTCAGGAAGGACTTTTATAATTATCATTGTATTGATATCATTTTGCCACAGAATTATTCAACGTTGGATATATGTTCTTGTGTCAGGAAACAGTCAATGTGGAGATGTGTGTATTTATCCGAGTGAAGAGTTCTCTTGGAGACATGTTTGTTTGTCTGAGACAAGAGTTCACATGAGGAAATGTCTGTTTTCTGAGGAAAGAGTAATTGTAAGGACATATGTGGTGGTCTGAGGGAAGAGTCCATGTGGGGACATGTGTGTTTGTCTGAGGGAATAATTCATATGAGGAAAGGTGTGTTTGACAGAAGAGCCCGCATGCTGACAGGTGTGTGTACCCATCCGAGGGTACATGCCCATTCATGGATAGTGTATGTCTGAACTGAGCTGAACGTTGGGGAAAACTTTTCTCAAACAAGGAAAGAAAAGAATGTTTTGGGTTGTTTGCTTGTCAGGAAGAAAAAACCTGGGTTGTTCGCTTGTCAGGAAGAAAAAGCCTGGGCCACGTAGAAAATAGATTTTGTCTTAATTAAAGGTCTTCATTGAATGGAAGCATCATATATGCAAGTCAGGAAAATTACTTCATCCTTTGCTGCATGTATCTCATAACATTCCCACACTCCCAAATACGTTATTAGATAATTTTATAGAGTGTGTTTAATCCAGGGGTTAATGAACTGCTATATATATTTTAATTGTATATATTTAGGTTTATATTTTCCATCACAAAATTATGAGCTTAGACAAATTAATTGTGTCACGTCTCAACCATTGCATATCACTAGAATATTCTTACTCTTCTTAAACAGAGCCTGTTTTACTTATTTTACACCCACCCTCTAAATTCCTGGAATATCCTACTTACTTGACTGTAGTTTTGGCTTTTACAGAATTTCAAACAAATGAAACGATACCGTGTAATTGAAATGACTTCACAGAAGAAAGTGGAAAATGAAGTTGCTGACCTAAGTAACTTTGAAAGTGAGGAGATTCTGTAAGTTTTAATTGTAAACAAACCACACATAAGAACTCTATTGTAGTAGATAAATATGTTTCTTTTTTTTTTTTTTTTTTTTTGAGACGGAGTCTCGCTCTGTCGCCCAGGCTGGAGTGCAGTGGCCGGATCTCAGCTCACTGCAAGCTCCGCTTCCCGGGTTCACGCCATTCTCCTGCCTCAGCCTCCCGAGTAGCTGGGACTACAGGCGCCCGCCACCTCGCCCGGCTAGTTTTTTGTATTTTTTAGTAGAGATGGGGTTTCACCGTGTTAGCCAGGATGGTCTCGATCTCCTGACCTCGTGATCCGCCCGTCTCGGCCTCCCAAAGTGCTGGGATTACAGGCTTGAGCCACCGCGCCCGGCCCGATAAATATGTTTCTTACAAGGGTACAGCTTTACATTTCTGATGCCACTCTGCATGTATCCTAATATTGTGCAGCTAAATAATAAAATGGCATGTGGTGGGATGGGGTTCCTCACTTTACAGTGGGTGGTTATAGACAGTCAAGGAAGGAAGACTAAAAAGGTCCATGTGGTAGCATAGTTGGGTGGAGAGTCCAGTGTCTTCTCATTTTTAATGTAATCAAGTTACAGAAGATTAGATACATAAACAGTTTTGAAGTGTCCACAAACATGGTTCACAAAAACATGCACATTTACTAGGCCAATTGGTTGAGAGGTCCTAGAAGTACTTACACCACATCAACAACACACATATCCAGTATCACAATATTTTATTTTAATATTATTCTTTAAAATCAGAAACAAGCAACCTTTATAGAAATGGCTAATTCTAGGTATGAAAAAGGTAATATAGAAAATGAGCTTAGAAATTATTATAACATCCAGGAAACAGGGAAGTGTTCAAAAACAAAAGGATGTGCTGTGCCGTAAGGATGCAGGATCCAAACTAAATCAGTGCCCAGCACCTAATAAAGCTGTGGCAATTTGAACAATAAAATGAATAATGTAGCATGGATCTTTTTCAGAGTGTGAAATAGACAACCATAAACCAATACGGATATTAATAGATGATTAAATAAATAAACAATGGGAAGAAGGACGCATCTCCTTACAGAAGTCTTCCAAATATCTCAAGCGGAGAGTCCTTCAATCAATAGGTGAAGACTAAACACTCATGCGTTGATTGTGGCCTGAGATTAGAGACATGGAAAAAAAAATCACTAATAGCGTATTTCATAGTGCGACTTCACATATAATGGCAAATACATGATCTATGAAAGAATTTTTTTTATTATTTTTTTGGTCTAAATTTGTGCAAACACACACAGACACACATTTTTCCGCAATACCCACCGACAAAGGCAACCACAGACTGGGAGAAATACTTCCAAGTCACATATTTGTTAAATCATTTCATTTGTTTTGTTTGTTTTTGTTTTATGTTTGTTTGTTTGGAGATGGAGTCTCACTCAGTCGCGCAGGCTGGAGTACAGTGGCGCGATCTCGGTTCATTGCAAGCTCCGTCTCCTGGGTTCACGCGATTCACCTGCCTCATCCTCTGGAGTAGCTGGGAATACAGGCGCCCGCCACTACACCTGGCTTTTTTGTTTGTTTGTTTGTTTGTTTGTTTGTATTTTTAGCAGAGAAGGGGTTTCACCGTGTTAGCCAGTTTGGTTTTGATCTCCTAACCTCGTGATCCTCCCATCTCGGCCTCCCAAACTGCTGGGATTACAGCTGTGAGCCACTGACCCCAGCCAATTCTTTTAATTTGTTAAATGACTTTTATAATCAATATGCAAGAAAACTTGCAACTAATCAAAAGAATACAATGCAGTTAAAAATGAACCAAATATCAGGAGAGGCATCTCACCAAAAATTATATAAAAATCGTTAAATATATAGGCCGGGCACAGTGGCTCACGCCTGTAATCTCAGCACTTTGGGAGGCCGAGGCGGGTGGATCACCTGAAGTCGGGAGTTCGAGACCAGCCTGACCAACATGGAGAAACCCCGACTCCACTAAAAATACAAAATTAGCTGGGCATGGTGGCACATGCCTATAATCCCAGCTACTAGGGAGCCTGAGGCAGGAGAATTGCTTGAACCTGGAATGCGGAGGTTGCGGTGAGCTGAGATCATGCCATTGCACTCCAGCCTGGGCAACAAGAGTGAAACTCCGCCTCAAAAAAAAAAAAATTGTTAAATATGAATTTTTTATTAAGAACCTGTGCATTTAAATAAAAATTAGATACCATTACTCACCTATTAGCATGGTTAAAACTCACAATTCTCATGATGATAAATGGCAATATGAATGTGGAAAAACAAGAAATATTATGCATTGATGGTAGGAATTCAAAATGTCACATGCGCAAAATGAGATTTTTTGGCATTTTTAAAGTAGAGACAAAAATAGAGTTAAAATGTGAACTTGTGTTTGGGTTCCAAAATATTTACAACATTGATTCAGAGATTGATATTTACAAAGATCAATTCAGAGGAAGTTCTGTATCAGATTTCTTAATTTGATTCATTCGACTATCCTTGAAATTTGCTTACAGAATAAATGTTATATGAAACATCTCTCAGATAACTAAAATCCCGTCCACTCAAGCCCTTGTCCAAGGTTCTGTCTCACTCAGTGCATAATGTGGCTGGTAAAGGTGTATCTAGAAGCCTTCCAGGAGACCTTCACTGAGGACCCAGGCTTCTTCACCTCAGCTCCAGACTGCACCAGCTGCACCTGGGAGTGGACACCTGTGGGGAGGACACAGGAATGGATGAAAGCCCCCTTGACTGAACTCAATCCCCTTCTCATCACTGGGACTTGGGAACCCTTACATGTGGCTGCTGCCACCAAGAAGAGGATCCTCCAGGTCCGGTCCATAATGAGGAGCTGAGCTCTCAGGGTCTTCTCTAGGGGAGGGATGTGGTTATTGGGTGATGCTCTCAGGGCCCAGACATATCCATATTTACCTCCATGGATCTCAGGTTATTTGTATAATCATGAGACAGAGCATTTCATAGCTCAAGACCTGATCCAGGATAAGAAACGGGAGATGAATGACAGATCAGCCTTACATGAGTGGGATGCTGATGGTCCAAGCCCTAATCCTGCTTGAAGAAATGGATGCTCTGCTCCATTTACAAACTTTTTGTGGCCAGACACCCTTTCACTGAAAAGCAAGCACCCAGAGGACATGCTCCTCACTGTGAACCCACATTTGATTAGCATGGAGACCACATGGATGATTTCTGGAACCATCACCCTTCATGACACTGACCAGGTGCTGTGACCCCATCCTGGTCGAATCAGGCACCAGCCACAGCTCATTGGTGACTCTGAGAAAGTGAGTGCTGATGTCCCACGTGAGTGTCCAGCAGGTCCCTCTGAGATCTGCTGTGTGTTCCTGAGACAGTGTCTCCAGCACCTGCCTGGCTTCCTGATCCATCCGGATCTTCAGTAGAACCACCCTTGGTTTACAGATTTGCCCTGTGATTCATAATTAGAGTTGATTTTCTCATCTCACGGACAATAGGAATCAAAAGATGGAAGAGAACTTTGGAGTTCTTTGTGAATTCGCTACTCCAAAAATAATTGTCAAGGAATTCGTGTTTTGAATAAGTCTGGGTTTCATTTCCTACTCCATTTAATAGAATCTCATGAAGTTTTTGTGTACTTTCAGTTCATATCCATAGATCCTCATCTTCACATATTGGTTTCTGACTCACTGGGTCTGTGTACCTGCCACACTCTCAGATCCATCACTGCCCTGTCAAATGCGCAATGTAGGCAACATTACCTAACACTAAAATCTGGCATTTTTATTCATAGGAATAGAGTGACTCCCACAATTCTGTATCCATTCAATTAGTAAAACTATTCCTATCCTTTATATCATCACTATTAAGATATTTATAGTCCTGGACACTCACTTTAGAAAATAGTTCTCGTTACCTTAAATTATATAAATGGTTCCGATATAACAGGATATTTAAAGGCACATCAGCAACTTGTTGAACACATAGTTTTTGTTGTTGTTGTTGTTGTTGACAAAGGAAGATACCTGAGAGGAAACTTCCTCCCCATCCTTCTGGACACCTGCTCTGGGGTTGGAACCTGTGCTTGGTGGCTCCTGAGTGCCCCCTCCAGCCCAGCCTTGCCTTGCAGTGAGGTTTCTGCAGTGGCTGTGACCTTGACCAGGCGTCTCCAGGGGAGAAGCTCAACTTTCGTCTTTACTGCCTTTTGTGGTTTCAGTGTCCCTGGACTATTTTCTTACATCTTAACCTGGATTATCTTACATCTTACCTGGACTATTTACCTGGATTTGCTTACATCTTACCTGGATTAACTATTTGTTTACATCTTACCTACGCTATTTGCTTACATCTTACCTGGATTATTTGCTTACATCTTACCTGGACTATTTGCTGGACTATTTACCTGGATTTGCTTACATCTTACCTGGATTAACTATTTGTTTACATCTTACCTACGCTATTTGCTTACATCTTACCTGGATTATTTGCTTACATCTTACCTGGACTATTTGCTTATATCTTACTTGGACTATTTGCTTACATCTTACCTGTCTATGGACTATTTGCTTACATCTTCCTACAATCATGGAAGAATGGGGGAGGGATCTAGAATGGCAGATTTGTCTTTCTTCACATAGGATAAGGTGCTGGAAAAGTTCTTCCCTGTAGGATCTTTTGGAGAAGGCTCTTGGTATATTTTACAGTGATTATAACTTCCCCACTTCTGATCCATAGGAAACATATTTGGATTGTATTTTTTCGAAACTGGAGGTTTCTGGAGGGAAAGTCCAGAAGACCGAGGAGTGTACGGCCCTCAGGAACTTTCACTTCACCGTAGTCCACATCTGTCTTGCAGACGTCTATAGTGCTTACCATGTAAGTGCCCTCAACAGCTTGTTTTATATACATATGTATATGTGTGTGTATATATATGTATTTATGTACATATATGTGTGTGTGTGTATATATACACACAGAAGTGCGGCTTTTGTTCCAGTAAAGCAAGTGTCAACTGCCATTCTGGACACACTTGTCTCTCCAGTTTTGCGAGTGGGCAATTTTTGATTGGAATTTCATTCCTTTGATGAATTCCCGAAGGCACTGAAGATCAGATTGTGCAGACGCCTCTTGACATAGGAATGAGGTGATGACTTTTGTAATCTTTACATTTTGGAGCAAAGACCAAAAGTACAACCAAAGGTCCTCTTCATGTGTTACTGGAGGCAGGATTCTAACCTGGTTACATAGATGTGGCACCTGGTTGGACATAAATGAACAGGCCAGGAAACAGAAAAAGGACAAGGCACAACGTTTATGAAAAAGTCTCAGCAATTTTAATTTTCTTCTGAGGAAGCTGAAATTGTGCAAGTAAAACAGTGTGACTGGACATGTCTCAGGTGAAGTTGTGTTCTGGAAAGTATCTCCAGTCCTGGGCTGGATCCAGTAGGTGCCCTCAGGCCCCAAATCCTAAAGCAGCGACTTGTATTCCTTAAACGGATGATATTCCTAAGAGAAAGCTGTTCTCAGGTGAGCTGCAGAGCAGGGAGGAGGAGATGGAGGTGTCCTTGGCTTCCCAGAATTGCTGAAACTTGAAGACCAAGGCCACCTCCTCATAGCTGGAGCAGAGATCCACCTATGAGTACATCACGTCGGCTCTGTCTTCAGGAATCTTGGGCTGTGGGGGAGGTGAAGGAATGTGATTTATTCCTTTCTGCTAATGCAGTGTGCTTCAGAGAAAATGAATTGAAAATTTAATAAACATGCTTTTTGCCATAATGGGGAGAGAATATGAATAATTCATGGCAATGCAAGTGGTCACTTCAGAGCTGGCAGAAGGAGCAAGTGCACAACTGAGAGAAGGAAGTGCCCTGCCCCAGGAAGCAGGTGTGCTAAGACCATCCCCCGAGAACTGTCCTCTAGATGCCACGTGTCAGTGGAACCTGGGCCCGTGCCTGGGATCTTGTGTGTAGTGTGGAGAGCAGAGCACAGCTCCATTCCTCCTCACTGTGTGACCTAGGATGTGACCTCTTCCTCTGAGCTTCATTCTAACTAGGTGTTAAAATCAAATAACAGCAGTAACTTTACCTGTAAACTTTCCGGTAAGAGCCAGTGATGATCAGAATTGTTATTACTGTTGTTGTCCGAACCCTTAAATATCATAAAAATACCTGTGTGACCCCTCATCTCAGACGTCAGATGACCACCTCGCAGAGAGCACACCTGCTTTGTTTCTGTCACAAACGTGGTATTAGAACTGGAAACTATGTGTACCTTGTTATAGAATTTCTATCTTAGTTATGTTACATTGGATGAAGTTAGAATTAGTGAGAGTTAGAAATTTGGCTGATGAGATGTCTAAGCAAACTGTCTATGGTGTGTCTTCATTTCTCACTGCTTATTATAGATAATGTGAGAGGAGGGAGAAAAATTAAAGAGGAAACTATTGACCAATAGTCAGGCGTTTTATAAACAAAGGAGGTTTTCACATCTTCTGGAAACCCCATTAAATTAAATAAATTAACGAACATTAAGACATTTTTCTGCATTTTGGATGCATGTCTAATACAGACTTAGATTTAAATGCAAAAAGAGATAACACAGAAAATGGAAATTAGGCAGCAGATCATTTTGCCAAATAGGCAGATTTAAACTAGTTTGTAATTTTACCTAAATACTCAAAGAATAAACCCCAGATTCAAATAAGAAATGATAAAATTTCAATGATTAATGACTGGTTGAGAGAAGCTTGAACTAACAATATTTTGATGAATCATACATCAATAATAAAACTTTATCCAGTGGACCAAATTTTCAAGGGGTTGCTTGAGTAAATAGTTTCTTTTTTTTTTCCATTTTATTTATTTATTTATTATTATTATTATACTTTAAGTTCTAGGGTACATGTGCATAACGTGCAGGTTTGTTACATGTGTATACTTGTGTCATGTTGGTGTGCTGCACCCATCAACTAGTCAGCACCCACCAACTCAGGCATTTACATCAGGATAATCCAAGCGCAATCCCTCCCCCCTCCCCCCTCCCTGATGACAGCGCCCGTGTATGATGTTGCCCCTTCCCGAATCCAAGTGTTCATTGTTCAGTTCCACCTAATGGTGGGAACAGCGGGGGTTTTGTGTGGTCTTGTGATAGTTTGCTAAAGAATGATGGTTTCAGCGCCATCCATGTCCCTACAAAGGACCACAAAACGCATCCTTTGTTTTATGCTGCCATAGTATTTCTATGGTGTATATGTGCCACATTTTCTTAAATCCAGTCTGTCAGCGTCGATGGACATTGGTTGATTCCAAGAGCTTGCTATTGTGAGTAGTGCCGCAATAATATACGGGACAGTGTCTTTATAGCAGCATTGATTTATAATCCTTTGGTATATACCCAGGAATGGATGGCTGGGGCATATGGGACATCTAGTTCTAGATCCTTTGCGAATCGGCATACCTGTTTTCCGGACAATAGTGGAACTAGCTTTACAGTCCCACCAACAGGTAAAAAGTGGTTCCTATTTCCTCCACAGCTCTCCAGCACCTAGTTGTTTTCCTGACTTTTTAACTGTCGCACCCGATTTCGATAACGGGAGATGTACTCATGTGGTTGTGATTCTGCATTTTCTCGAGGCCAGGATGATGAGCAGTTTCATGTGGCTGTTGGCGTAGAATCTTCTTTTGAGAAATGCCTCGCATATCTTTGCCCACGTTTTGAGGTTTTGTTGTA